AACCATGACGACCACAATGAGGGCGTTACAAAACAAAAGATCAAATTGGCAGATAGGCACGTGCGTATCAAATCTTTGTACATTTTTTAGCCGACTTTGGCAAAACTCCAACGTGATATCAACCAAATTTGCGTGGTCTGTGTACGGAAACCCCAACGGAACTCTACACGGCTTCCTTACGTTATGCTACGGTTGAGGTGTAGCGATGTAAGAAACGGTAAACACGTTCAGCCATTTGCGAAATTATAAATTCATTTTTAAACCATCGTTTACTGCGGCGTTGCCTTGACGCTAATCAACAATTCCAACAACAGTACCCTAATTCAGAGGCGTGTTGGTCCCAAACTTTTTCATGATGCACCAGACCAGGTTTATATTCGCAGAGTTATGCCACGGTCAAAAAAAAATTTTGACGGATTTATAAATGCACTAATTTATGCCATAACTTTCAGAGTAAGAATGAAATTTGAGACAAGAGCGAGAGCACGTTTGCATAGATAGCCAAAAGCGCAAGTTTGATCGATTCCAAGAGACGTAAAATTACATCGTAAAAAATATTGCCTACTTTTCCTTACCTTGAGATTTGTCAGAGACAAAGAGATTTCAAATGGCATAACAGTCTTGATAACAACACTTTCCTCCTAGGACGGGTATAAATCGGGACAGTAGAGAAAGAAAAAGCAAAAAGACGTCGTGATTTTATATTCACCATGTGGAGGATTTTTTAATTGAGTGTCGAATGAAATCTGAGATTACTTGCGTTCTGTGATTGGTCTAGAAAACTCGCGCCACTTTCTCAACCAATCAGATGCAATAATAAAGCCACGTTTTCCCGCCCTTTGGGCATTGTTGTTCTCATTGGCTCTTTAAGGTCCTTTCTTCTGATTGGCCGTTGTGATTACTTTGGTTATGGTCTTACGACAGTCAATCGAAAAGCGCTCCATGTTACAAGTGCAACTTACATTCACAAGTGCAACAACATTAAAAAGCGAACGAGGATTAAAATTAAATGTGGAAATTTACGCGGCGCTTGCAAATTTGTTTAGTCTTGTGGATTAGAATACTGAGAGGTAGCTTTATCTTTCTTTAAGACACAAAAGAGTGATCTCACCTTGGCACAAGTACAAGTGACTGG